GTGTAGTAATGTTGAGTGATGTCCTTTTTGTGACTTTGCTTGGACAGGGAATCAGCAGTGCTGTTGGCCTCTCTATATATATGATTACATTGGAAGGTTTCACATTGGCTAGCAAGATTTTGAAGTTCCTGTACAAATTTTTGAATCCTCCAAGGGGGTGTAGCGGTTTGCACTATCCACTTAGTTAGAAGCTCGGAGTCTACTTCCAGAATAATTTTATTGTAACCATGTTGAATGCACCAGTTTAACCCATAACTGGCAGCTTGAATTTCTGCCTGATTATTGGTCCCTTCACCAAGAGGTAAAGCAAATGCATAAATGATCTTTCCTTGTTCATCTCGTAGAATGCCTCCCCCTCCTATCTTCCCGGGGTTGTGTAAAGCACTACCATCTATGTTAAGCTTGTAGCTGCTGGGAGGAGGTGTTTTCCAGGTCACAGAAGTAACTTTAACATCATGCTTGCAGTTTGCGATCAGGTCCACTACTTCTGTCCACTGTGCAGGCCAGTAGATGTAAGGAAAAACAGTGTTGAGCAGGTGGAGGATATCTTTGAGGATCATGTATTTGACCCTGCTGCTGCTGGATTTTTTCCCCCCGTATTTCGCTGAACATCGATTCTTCCACAGGTTCCAGCAGACCACAATGGGAAGAGTTTTGATGAGAGTTTTGTGGGCTTCATTCTTTCCTTGGATATCATTCCATCTCAATATATGATTACTCAATGAAGACCGCTGGAAAGTAACCCCCATTGGACTCAAAAAGGATGTCCAGATATGAGTTGCAAATGGTCCTTGATTGAAGATATGGTCCACTTCATCCCATCCTCTTTGGATACAACAGTAGCACCTCACTGGCTCCACTCCGAAAGTTGCCAATTTTTCGTTAGTTGGTAATTTATATCTAAGTGCTCTCCAAACGAGAAAAGACATCTTCAAGGGGATATTCTTATGCCAAATCTGTGAATTACTCACTGCATTACTCTTCCTCAGTCTGCATATTTTCCATGCTGAAGCACAAGAAAAATTCCCAGAATCGTTTGGCTTCCAGACTGCTGTGTCTTTATCTCCTTGTTGGTATTGGAATTTAGTGCTCAATATGTGGGGGATGAGCAGTGGTGGAACCTGCTGTCTCAACTTTCTTTCATTCCACTCCCCATTGACTAGAAAGTGGGCAATCGTAGCATTATTGAGGCTGGAAATGCTGGTGGTGTACTTAGCAAGAGCACCCATTCCTAGCCAGTCATCCCACCAAAAGGAACAACTTCCAGACCTAATATTCCATGTGATATGATCCTCTACTTTGTCTTTATTCTTCGTCATATATCTCCACACTAAGGACTAACCAATGTCCACCTTCTTTGCAACTGGATTGGCTCTCTGGCAGTATTTGGACTTGAGGAATTGACCCCATAGAGAATCTTTAGCCCTGAAGTTCCCCCATTGTTTATACGTAAAAGAAGTGCAAATATCTGTGAGTCTTCTGTGCCCCACCCCTCCTTCATTATAAGGTAGGCTCATGGTTTCAAGTGATGCCCAATGGTATTTCCTACGGTCTTGATCTCTTCCTCAGAAAAAATCAGCAATAATAGACTCAATGTATTTAATAGTAGTGCTGAGAGGTGAGATTGCAGCCATAGTGTGAATAGGAATGGATTGTAATGCATGCTTGACAAGAGTGATTTTGCCTCCGAAGCTTAGAATCCTTGCCTGCCATCCACAAATCTTCTTGGAAACTTTCTCAACAAGTTGTGAATAATAAATGATCCTTTGTCTACCAATGTA